ATATTCAGAATCAATCAAAAAAAGAATGCAATAGCAATTGGTAAATGAATTCATTGATCTATTTTTGTCAAATTGAGCAATTTATGTTTATATATTACTAGCATGACTGCATCATGTTTTCATTAAGTTAACATGAAAAATATATTGTCTTTAGCAATATACCTAATTTTTCTTTTTTAAATGAGATATACAATTTTTCTTAAGAATATGTTTTCTATTTGATACAATTTTTGGGGTATGATTTTTATTAATAGCAATAATAATATTTATATTTTATGTATTTAAATATCATATAGATCTAATGATATTTGTACAGAAAAGATTAAAATGGTAAAATCTTATTACTGCTAAATAATTTTTTTTTAATATTTTGTTTTATTGAAATTTGAATTTAATGTATAAATAAGAAATTTGATGCAACTTGCTATTCGCTTTTACATACATTTGCATAATAAGAGAGAGGAATACGGAACTATGTGTGAATAGAGGGAAATTATTAATAAAATACATAAGTGTAAATTTTCCAAAATTTTTTTACTAAAGAAACATATATTTCAGTAACGAACACACACGGACAAATCAGTGGTCGAACTAAATCATACAAGATTAGGTACTTCGCTATTTCTTCTTTGCCTCTAGAAGGTTACAATGCTTTGGTTATCTTTTTTTTTTGTTTTGAATATATTATAGGATATTTACGGAGATATAATTAGTGTTCCTCTCTTTCGGCTTTTTAAGCACTGAATTACTTTATATCAAGCGGTTCGAAGTTCCCCGTTATGCTCATGATCATTGTCCAACCGATCGATCACGCGATCAATCGACGGAACGCGTCCGTTTACGCTATTTCTAATCGGTATACAATAATTTGCTATCTCTATCGAGTCCATCTGTCGAGACGCATTTCGATCGCGATCGCGCGATTTTCGAACGGCCTACCTGTCGCTTCGTCGCAAAAGTTAATTCGTATTGTTGTGCTTATTGCGAATTTCCATATTTCACATGTTCTCCGCGAAATTAAATATATATATTTTTTTTAAGAAATCTTTACTAAACGATAAAATCTTTTTTTTATCCAATGCTTTTTCGAATAATTTATTGCAAAATGTTTTACATAGCCTTTTTGTTCAATTTTACAAAATAAAGCATAGACATAATTCAAATGTGAATTAATTATCATTAATTATTTTCATTAATTAATACTTGTGCATTGCTTAAGATATATATATTGAAATCTAACTTCAATCACCAGTCTTATTCGATAAATGTCTTATTTTTGGGAATCATTTTAATTTTAAAAAATTATATAAGAAATAAGCGACAACACAAGAAAAAATATCAGGGCAGTCAGAGAACCGAGGTCTGGATTTTTTTCTATATTGATAGACTTCTGTTTTTTCATCCTAGCCACACAGCCCTGATAGCTTCTCTGTTGTGCATATTTCCTCTAAATTTTTTACAATTATGTATAAAATAATTTTTATAATTATAAACGAATTATAATTAAGTAAAAGAGTTAAATATTATATAATCGTTTGTATATTTTAATTGAAATGTTACTAATTTTACTTTTTATAGAATAAATTATAGATTTACCTAGAGAAAGATTCTTATTGTGCAACATAAATTCATCTGTTTAAATGACGTCTACAATGAGATTTTTTAAGACGTAAAAGTTAAGCTTTAAGACTTAAGTTATAAAAAATTGACCAACATCACAGTCGAATGTGAGGAAAACTATCGACTATGTTCAATTTTTTGTGGCTTAAAGCTTAAAACTTAAGTTCTATGCCTTAAAAAGGCATTATAGACGCCGCTTTATATATAAAAATATGCTTTTTTGTGCCATGTGACATACTTCAATTTTATTTTTTTTAACTAGATATCAGGACTAATATTGACATACGTACTTCTGATTAAACTGTCACAATGGCACATTCATGATTAAAATAATAAGAATAACAGATTTTGAGTTTCGAGAGGTATTCACAGAATTTGAATAAATATTATTCGCAGAATTTTTAAATCGAAGTATAGAGAATTGGAAAAGTGGAAATTCGCTAATAAAAAAAAGCTTTTCAAGCACTTGTACAATATCGTTGAAAAACCGTTGGCAATGTGACACGTCCTGCTGGCAGCGGACGGTCGAATATGTGGACGAGCACTACTCGTTCGTCTTTCTCGAACGACGCGCAATTGTAAAATCGATCAGTAATATTCTCGCGGATGTTAAAAACTGTATGAAAGTGTGTAGGTACATGAATTTGTGATGCTAGTCCAACGGCAGTCTATGATTTGTATCCTGCTTCATTTATTATTACACACGATGATATGCGCGGATATGATAAGTAAATATCTTGATATGGCAAGTAAATAACAGTAACGCACGTACTTAAACTAATACGTTTCTCAAGTCTATCGACTGCGATGGTCGCATTCTTTTCTTCCGGCATTTCTCGTCGATCTCTTGCTTAATTGACGGCGATCTGCATAAGAGCGCTGGCATGACACACTGTGTCATTTTATGCAATATCAAATAGAAGATTTGTTAAATAACTTTTACGATATCATTTAACAAGCTTGTCGATATCGCACATTTATTCTGTACGCTGCGATAAGCTCTTGTATATTTATCGACGTAATGTCGATTTAAGAATTATTTTTATTGCATTTTATTACACGAGATCTCGCGATTTACGAAAATTAAGATCGATAAATTCAGACGAAAGAATTAAATTACGCAATGAGAATTTATTATAAAATTGTAATAGAAATTTATTAAATCTTCCGATTGCTTAAAGCTCCTGTGCAGCAATAAATAAATGAGAAAAGATAAGATTGTCGTTAAAGAGTGATAAAATAACAATTCGGTGTACCTGCAGATTTGTACTTTAACGAGAGTTTTTCCTTCGTAATTATAATTTTATGCTACATAATTCGGAAATGGAATGCGCAGAAATCATAGCGCAATTATTCTTTTCCTTCAATTGTACGCTTCTTATCAGGAGTATCGAAATCTAGCTTATGAAATGATTTGCATTGAAAGCATATTAACACATGATATGGAATGAAATATTCTCTATTGAGTTCTTCTTATTCGCATCTGATTCGGGATCTCGTAAAATTGTCATGAAATTCGCGCAAAAGCTTCGCTTATCGCCGTTTCTTTTTGTAGAATCAGGAAATAATATTTCTCTCTTGTGTTACAGTCGATTGCGAATCGCTCTTGAGATAAATACACACGCGAGCCATCGCTCTTTCTCTTCCTCTTTCTCTCTCCCTTTCTCTCTCAAGTCGCATACGTACAAGCACACGAAACATATGCACACCAGTACACGATCTTATTTATTTCGTACTAATATTATAATCGAGAATCCTCGACAAATGCTACAGATACAAACTAGAGAGCATAAGATGTAACGTCGGTATGCGTGTACAGATTGCTGCAAAAGATAGGCTCTACAGAGTTCACAGTGAGTCTGTTTTACTCGATAGGACATTAAAGTTTAATAATAAACGTCTCAAAATTTTTTTGCAAGCAAAAGTATAAAAATATAAATCGTATTTTGTATTGATATTATTCGGATAGATAAACTTGGCAGAGAAATTCTGTCCTTTCTTTTGATTCTTGAATGTCTGAAAAGTTTTTCCTAGATTCTGAGATTACGAATCATCACATTCTGGAATTCTTGGATCCTATCTCGGATCTCTGCATCTTTAGATTTTTAGATTTCTATCTCCATAATTTATCGAACTCCTTAATAAATTCTAAAATGTCTGTAATGAAATTTTGAGGCATAAAATTTAAAATTTAAACCGTAAGAAATTAACCATTTATAGATTCGATTATTCTTTTCACATTCGACTGTGATTAATCAGTTTTTGATGGCTTTAAGTTTTAAGTTTAAATTTTATGTCTTAAAATCTCGTTGTAAACATTGCTTTAGTCACGCGAAGTTATAGAATTTTTTATGTAGTTATTTGTAAATCTCTCGATAAATCTTGTCATTAAAGTAATATTTTCTTGACTGTGAATTCTGCGGAGGACAATTTTTGCGGCACATTTTCAAAAACGCGTCGAAGAATGCATCACTCCATACGCACCGCGGCTAAATATACAATATTCGATAAGAATAAGATTACACAGATACGTAATCATACAGTAGTAAAAAGTAAAAACAGTATGAAAAATTATTGTATTGTTTCCCATTACTTATTGTTACGCCGTGCTCCGTACTCTCAAAGTTGCCAACGCGAGCTTGATTATAATTTTTTTTTTATTTTCTTTGTTCGTCTAGTGAAGTGAATATATTTATGAAAAGTTATTCCTTTCCATCTAAGTAGATATTTTTTTTGTAGAAATAAAATATTACAAAATGATAGAATGTGACCAACGCGTTACAATAATTACTCGTAAATAGAAATCGCGTTATTAAATTTATAACATCTATTCTACATGTGCAAAATTTTTCAATTTTCATTCAAGCCAATTATATGCTGTTGTGAGCTAGATTATTTAATAGTTTATTTTTGTTATTTTTATTAATAAATATCACATACGCGATTTTTTTATTTTCCGATCAATCTGGCGTTTGATCAATTCCGAGAGTGGAACGTCCAATTATAAGTACGAATACTATGATATCGTATTACATGTACGATGATCTCTACGATGGTCGATGTTCTCTGAGATGACAATACTATGATCAACTAATGATTAATAACAGACGATACATGTTCAATAGCAGCCTTTTCTAAAATGGAACTGAGATTTTCTGTTAATGAATTGTTTGATACGATGATATTATTATTTAAATTTAAATTACATCAGGCATATTATCGAGTGAAATGTTTAGCAACAATGTGTATTGTTAAAGTTATCTTTAGCTACATTTAGTGCTCAGATCTTTTATGTTAAGAAATTATTTTTGTGCATGTTTTTTTATGTTTTTCCTTTGTCGAAAATTTACTGTCAATTGAGGATAATTATTACTTAATTAATATAAAAATAATAAAAGCTTAACCTATGGTTTGTTGCCTAACGTAATATTTAGTTCGCGAGTAAAGATTCGAGAGGGTTGTAATTTAATTTATTTAGAGTCGACGTTCTCTTAACATGCTATTGCAGCAAAGAATTTAGAAGTGCTATGCTGAAGACTTTTTTGATGGGAGTATTTCCATATTCTCGATGGCGATCGCGGTGAATGATTGAATGAATTCTGTTCGTTATGATAGCTCGATTATCTTGCAGGTTACTGAGATAAATCGTGTCCAAAATGATTTATTATTGTCCGCTTATATGTCCTTTTTTTCGCTTTAGGTCATAAATGTTACCACACCTGTGAAAATACTCCCCTCGTACTAACTACTCACTAAAACTTTTGTTTCATCCGGATTTTATCACGCGTGTCTTGTGACAGTCAATCGTTTCGATTATCGATTTAGATATTCAGATAAAATATCTAACATTCGAAAGATTTTATCGAAGAGTGGAATCGAATTATCTGTTTCGAAAAGATCTGGCGATGCGTAAACCAACTTCTCGTTTAAAATCTCATAAGATGTGAAGATGTAGAGTAGAATAATTAATTTTAAAATTACCGTATGTGACCACATTCAAAATAGTTTGTAGTATTATTAATCGTCCAACGAAGATAATGATACTATTTCTTGACATGAATTGTAAAGATACAACGTGTAAAACCGGCTTTTACAAATCTCTGTGAGATAGATCTCTTCTTTACCAAGTGGTGCAATTGACAGAGACCGTTTTTATCCTCAATTTACACGCGTGTATTTCTGCATTTAGCAGAAATTCTGTTATTTAGCAAATGTGTATCGAACATTGTTTGCTCTAATTTCGATTAATAAGAATTATAAATTTAATCAAATTTAAGTAAACTTTATAAATAACTTCTACTTACTTTTTTTCATAAATTTGACATATATATATCAAATTTGTAAAAATGTGTTAGTCACATACTTTACTCATTATTTTTTATCATTAAGGACATTCTATGTTTCTTTCAAATACACGTAC